TGTCGGCGACTGCGGGCGCTCGCACGGGCCGAGCGCCAAGCGGCCTCCGCCTGCTCCGGCACGCCGTCGGGGGGCACCTCGTCCACGCAGCCCCGCGAGCGCAGCAGACCAATCTGGCTGCCCGGCATCTGCCGCACGGAGTGCGGCGAGCGTGGCTGCCGCCACCTCTCGTGCTTTCGCCGCCAGAGAACGGCCCTGGGCATGCCGGAGCCCGCGCAGCCGCCGCAACCGGAGGAGGGCGGCGTCGGCCGCCGCGTCCGCAGCTTCGCCGCCGCCGCCGGTCGTCGCGGGCCGTTCAGCCTCCCAGGCTGCTGCCGCATGCGGTCGTTCGGGGACTGTCCCCAAGCCCATCCAGGTAGCCAGCCGCGCCCGCACGGCCTGGCTGAGGGTGGCCCAAGCGGCGCCCATGTCGCGGGTGCTCAACGCACCGCAGAAGGCGCCCTCGAAGCCGGCCAACACCGAGGCCGTGGCGCTCCTCGCTGCGGCGGGACTCCACCCTGCCTGCTGAGCGGCACCATCAAGGGGAGCGACCGGCCGCCGGAGCAGGGCGCGCTCGGGGGCTTCGGCGCGCAGCTCCACCAGGAAGGCCGCGTGCGCGGCGATGCCAAGGTCCCATCGCAGCCCTGCCCTCTGCACTAGGCCGAGCGCCTGAGGGTTGGCCAGCACGTAAATGCGGGAGGGCTCGCCTGACGATGGCAAACACGTAGGTCCCGCGGCTGCCAGGAGGTCCCTGCAGCCTGCCACGCCCAAGACCCCCTCGAAGCCGGAGTCGCCGATCCGGAAGTTGAGGTCGCCCACGAGGAATGCAGGGGCCTGACCCAAGCCCTGGAGCCACCCCGCAGCCTCGATCAAAAGGTCCACATTCCTCTCCCTGTCACTCTGGCCGCCGGCGTAGCCGTAGCAGTTCAGGAAGTGCACGGCGCGCCCGAAGCCGAAATGCACCGCGACATGCTGGAGGCGGCCAGGGTGCCGCCCACTGAGGCCCAGCATGGGCTCCGCCCGTGCCTGGCACTTGGCGGGGGCGTGGGCCGCGGCCAGCAAGTGCTCGCCCTCCTGCTCCTGCCCGGGGTGCAAAGTCAATCCCCTCGCCCGAGCGGAAGCGGCTGCGGCCTCCGCCTCCGCTGACGGGATGCGCGCTTCCTGCGCGCAGGCCACCGCCGGATCCGCCGCAAGAAGCCCGCGCCAACTGGCGCTCCAGCGCGTCACATTGGCAACCACCACCGTGGCCGCCAAGCCTTCGGGCCCTGGCAGCGACGCCTCGCCCACGCGGACGCCTCGCCACGGCCACCAGCGCCATCGGGCCTGACCGCGGCCGAAGTGCACGGCCAAGTGCGGGCGCCGGCCCAAGTGGCATCCAGCGAGGCTCGCCATGAGCTCCGGTCGAGCCGCGCACTGACCCAGCTAACCGGCGCGGGGCCGAGCGCCCCCGGGGCGCCGCGGCTGGCCGCGCCCGCTCGCGTGGAGCAAGGGGGGGTTGCCTCGCGGCGGAGCCGCCTCGGCTGGGGAGAGGCGGCAACCCGCTGGGGCGGGGCCGAGGGCTGCGACGACGGGGGGCCGAATCCCCCCGCCCTCAGCCCGCTCAAGGCCGCCAGGGGGCCGCAACTGCGTACCTGGCTGCACCTCGGCCCGCGCCGAGCCCGCCGGGCCGCTGCCCAATGGCCCTGGGAGGGCCGTTGCCGCCAGCGTCGCCCGGCAACCTCGTGCGAGGCGTGCCCTACGGCGGGGGCAGCTGGGAAGAGGGCGCCCCGGGCCGTCTTCCCACCTGGGGCGCGGCTGGCAGCGCGGCCCCGGGTGCCGCGCTTCGCCAACCCTGACGCCCCTCCATGGGCTCTGCAGCCCGCGCTCCCGGGATGGCCGCAGCAGCGCAAGCAGCCCCGCGACGCATCCGCAGCTCACAGTTGGCCCTCCCCGGGGTTTCATGCCATCTCTCGCCCGCACGCGCTGGCTGCTGCGGTGCGTCTGGCGGCGGCTGCGCGGACGCGGCACCACCAGGCACCGCCAGGTGCCGCCGCGGCAAGGCGCGCGCAGCGCCGCAGGGACAAAGTGCGCTGCCCAGGCGCCAGCTGCGCGGGCTGAGCGAAGAGAGGGACACGGGGCTCTGGGGAGCCTCCGCGGTCCGTGGACTGGGAACGGTCGCCGTCCTCGGAGCTTCCGCGCAAGGGGGAAGACCAACGCGACCTCGCGCCCACGGAAGCCGCGCGCCGCCTGCTGCCGCCGGGCGTGGCCGCCGCGCGTGCGTCGCGGGGAGGGGGGCCCTGCGCTGCGGCAGGCATGCCTGCTTCGGCCGGCGCCCCAGCCGCCCCGCCCCCTGGCTGCCCTGAGCCGCCGCCCGGGCCGGCCGCCGCCCCCGCACCACCTGCAGGCCCAGCATGCCCTGCGCCACCGGGCGCAAGCAGCGCGCCCCGGAGCTGCTGCACCAAGGCCCCGGCGCCAGCCGCCTGCCCGGGAGCCTGCAATGCCGCGCATGCGGCGGCGAGGGCAGCGAAGGCGCCGTCGAGCCCTGCGGCTGCGGCGGTCGTGCCCGCGGCATCGCGAGCAGCCGCGGCCTCCGCCTGCACTGCCTGCAGCGTCTGCTGCGCCGCGTGCTGGTCCGCGATGGCCTGAGCGGCACGCGCATCGGCCTCCTCCGCCGCCAACCGGGCAGCCTCGGCCGCAGCCCGCGCGGCCTGCGCTGCCTCCTGCGCCTTCTGCGTTGCTGCGTCGCGGTTGCGCACCGTGTCCATCGCCGACTGCAGGCGGCGATCCAGCGGGCGCGCCGCGCGCTCCGCCTCCCTGAGGCCCGCCGCCTGCGCCTCCAGCTCCTCCTCGTGCGGCGCGTATTCTGGGAACGGCCACAGCGCCGAGACCCGTGCCCAGATCCCAGCAATGAGGTCCACCGGCGGAGCCTCCGCATCGGCAGGGTCCGCCAGCCGCGCTGCAGGTGGGGCGGCCGCCGCGGGCGCCTGAGGTGCCGGCTGCGGCGCAGACGACCCCGTACCTTCGGCAGCCTGGCGCGCGCCCGGGCCTCTCGCCAGGAGCCCTGCCCAAGGTGCCCTCGTTGCTGGCCCCGGCGGCACCGTGCCCTGGGGCGCGCGCGCCGACGGCACAGGCGGCGCCGCCCGCGCTGGCCGACCGCAGCCACAGCAAGCAGTGCGCCAGGCGAAGTTGTTGGCAGTGCCGCAGGCGCAGCAGCCCCAGAGCGGCGTGCGAAGCCCCCTGGCCTCGCCCGCCGCGCCATCGCGCCGCTGCCCCCGCTGCCGCTGCTGCGAGCCCCCGCCAGCAGGACGCAAGGCCGCCTGGCACGCCTTCAGCAGCTCCCCCTGCTGCTTCAGCTGCCGCTGCAACGCGTCCCATGGCGGCTGGGCGGCACCCCCGCGCCCACCGCCTCGGCCAGCTGACATCGGCTGCGGCCCGGGCGGCGCCAGCAGCGCGCGTGGATTGCCCTACGCACGCGGGCCTGGGCGCCCGGGGGGGGAGGGCGGGTGGGAATGGAGCCTTGAGCCTTGGGCCCTTGAGCCAAAATGGCTTGAGCCAACATGGGCGGCCTGGACACGTGAAAACATGTGGTTCCATCTGAGGACTACCATGATAGATATCACCCTGGGCGACCTGGGCACATGAAAACAAGCGTTTCGCCTGAGACATGCTCTGAAGTCTGGCCCCCCAGGAGAGGAGCAATCTATAGGACAAACCAACCGTTTCGCTCAAGGTATCCTCAACAACTTTTACAAAACAAAGGTTTCGATCGAGACACCCGCAACACACGAAGATGTTACCATGTTGTTGTATCGCTCGGAATTCAAATACATTATCCCGGCAAAGCAACCTAACAGCGATGTGTAGAAGCATATCTGAAAGCATTCCCCTTGAGATTCAGATGAAAGTCCAGTTGTCGAATTCTGCTGTTCTCGCAGTCGTAGTCGCATTCGCGATGACAGTCGCAGCGGCAACGGCAGTCGCAGTCACAGCCTCAGCCTCAGCCTGCCTCAGCCTCAGCCTCAGCCTGCCTCAGCCTCAGCCTGCCTCAGCCTCAGCCTCAGCCTGCTTCAGCCTCAGCCTCAGTCTGCCTTCAGCCTCGGCCTCAGCCTCAGCCTGCCTCAGCCTCAGCCTGCATCAGCCTCAGCCTCAGCCTCAGCTGCCTCAGCATCAGCCTGCTTCAGCCTCAGCCTCAGCCTGCCTCAGCCTCAGCCTCAGTCTGCTTCAGCCTCAGCCTCAGTCTGCCTTCAGCCTCGGCCTCAGCCTCAGCCTGCCTCAGCCTCAGCCTGCCTCGGCCGCAGCATCAGCCTGCCTCAGCATTCAAAATGTGGCCCAGGAATGGAGTTCTGGGAACTAGAAGAACACGAAGTGGCCTACAGTTGGCTCCGGGCATTCAAAATCATGCCCAGGAATGGAGTTCTGGGAACTTGAAGAGCACGAAGTGGCCTACAGTTGGCTCCGGGCATCCAAAATGTGGCCCGGGAATGGAGTTCTGGGAAATCGAAGAGCACGAAGTGGCCTACGGTTGGCTCCGGGCATCCAAAATGTGGCCCGGGAATGGAGTTCTGGGAACTCGAAGACCACGAAGTGGCTCACAGTTGGCTCCGGGCATCCAAAATGTACGCCGGGGATGGAGTTCTAGCAGCGCCAAGAGCGATTTTGCGAGGATGTCCCAAGCGATTTGGGCTTCGGCGGCAGCCGCCCCGGGTCCCGCCCCGACCCCCCTGTGGAGTCATCTGCTGCTCTCTTTGAGTCCACTAGAAACCTATCAGCAAAAGCTGTTAGGTAAAAACGTTTCGCGCGGATATCCTCGACATTTGATCCGCCGGCCCTCTTCGACATCGTTATCTATCGCACATTAATCCGCTGGCCCTCTTCGAACTTGGCACCGGGGATAGAACACCATCCTGGAAGAGAACCCTGGACGTGTGCCCTTTCTGGGACGAAGGACAGGGAGGGAGAGGGAGGGACAGCAAGATCGGAAGAGGCGGGGATCTGACGCCAGCAGCGGCCCTTCTGTCTGCACCCCCCCCCCCCCAGCCTGCCTGCAGCGCCCGCTGTATACGGCGCGAGATCGTCTCCGTGATCAGCAGGGTCTGCGCCTCGCTCCTCCTCCTCCTCCTCCTCCTCCTCCTCCTCCTCCTCCTCCTGCTCATCCTCCTCCTCTTCCTTCATCTTCTCCTCCTCCTCCTCCATCTCCTCCTCGTCGTCCTCCTCGTCGTCCTCCCCCTCGTCCTCCTCCTCCTCCTCCTCCTCCTCCTCCTCCTCCTCTCCTCTCCTCCTCTCCTCTCTCTCTCCTCTCCTCTCTCTCTCCTCTCCTCCTCTCTCTCCTCTCCTCTCCCTCTCCTCTCCTCTCCTCTCCTCTCCTCTCCTCTCCCCTCCCCTCCCCCTCCCTCTCCTCCTCCTCCTCCTCCTCCTCCTCCTCCCCTCCTCCTCCTCCTCCTCCTCCTCCTCCTCCTCCTCCTCCTCCTCTCCTTTTCCTCATCCTCATGCTGCGTCTCCTCCTGGAACTCTCCCTAATCGCTAGTCCCCTTGCAACCGCCTGGAGACCCCCAGAACCCCCCAAAACAATGACGAGGCCCAGAAGACGACGGAATGCAGAGGCCATTGGCTGCGTTGATGGCTTAAGAAGCCCCTTTTCTTCCACCACGGCGGAACGCAATGCAACCTCGGTTGGCGGCGGACAGGATCGGGTGCGTACAGTAGGGGCCCGACCACAAGAAACCTCCCACAAGAACCCAACCCTGAGACCCCAGGAGGTCAATCGATTTTTGGTGTGGGAACGTCACGATCCCCACAGCAAAACCATCGAAACCCAAGAAACCCAGGGTACCCTGGAGGCGAGCAGGGTATTTCTTGGCATGGGCCCCCACTGTAAGGCAACGAACGTGGCAGGACGCTGCTGTGAAACGGACGCTGGCCCGAGGCAAAGGAACCGCCAGCAAAGAACGGCACGAAATAAGCAGCTCGTGCTGGCGACGCGGGGGGAGAAGAGCCGGGGGAGAAGGGGCCGGGCCCTCGCGCGAGCACGGAGATGACGCGTTGTTCTCACCTGGGGACTCCTCCAATCTCTCGTGCGTCGTCGTCGTCGTCGTGCATCGTCGTGTTGGTGATGCTTTTCTCACGGCGCGAGGGTGCCTCTGGGAGGGGTAAAGGGGGGAAAAGGCGGCATGGGCATAACCTGTCGGACGTCCGCGGACTTCTTGGATCCGTGCTGGGCCCCCCTCCCTGGCGCGCAGGGGCGGCGCCGCCAGGGGCGGCCTCCCTCCCCAGAGCGCGGAGCGCCGGAGCGCTAGGGGGGATCCACTGCAGATCCAAGAGACCCGCACGGAACTCCAAAGGTCCATGTCCATGCAGGCATTTCTTCTTCGAGGGGGGTAGGCGGCCGCACTCGGGGGCGGCCAAGAGGGGTTCACAGATCGTGGCCAGAGGCACGTCAGCGGACGAGGCTGGGGCCAGGGGACGGTGTTGAACGTCTCCAGCGACACGCACGTCGATGAAAATTTGCACGCTCGAGTGCCAATGTCGAGTGAGCCAGTTCAAATGTCCTCGGTCGGCTTGTCTGAGTGGGCGCCCTCTTAATGCCCGAACCGACCCCATCCAAATCATCGCCCCCCTCTTGGCTGCTCTCGAGGCACGGGGGGTGCTGCGGGGGGCACGGGCGACACTCCGCGACACTCCACGATACGGGGAGGCGTCGGCAACACATCTGCGCCGTCGGCGTGGCGACAATCGGGCCCCACAGCGAGCCGCGCGGCCGATGCATCGTCGATGCGGCGCGGACCCTCGAGATGAGGCGCGGCGCGATCGGCGCTGCATCCTCCGACCACATCTACCCTGAGAGATCTGACATTGCAAGGTATTGAAACATTTCCAAGCCTCACACCACCACCGCCACCACCACCACCACCACCACCACCACCAACAACAACAACAAGAACAACAACAACAACAACAACAACAACAACAACAACAACAACAACAACAACAACAACAACAACAACGACAACAACAACGACAAATTGCAGCATCGCGAAATTTGCGACCAAAACCATTTTTCGGGCCGGGTCGGTCTGCGAGGGTCCCGGGGCCCGAACCCAAGCGAAAGCGCCCAGTCCGAAAACATTGCAAGGCCAAGATCTCAGGGTATTCGGACCTCATGTTCGAGCACAAGCCAGCATGAATTAAAGATCCATGTATCTGGGACGTGGGCGCCAGATCCATGGATCGGGGAAGGCACCAATGAAGAATGAGGCTAGTGCCGACCGATTTGGCGACGGAGCGCGCCGATTCTACACGACAACGGGGCCCGCCGCAAATCCACGCGCCTTAATCCATGTCTGCGGTTCCTCGACATTTGGGAGCTCCGTGCGGACTTCTTGAATCGGCGCTGGACCCTCTTCCCTTGCGCCCGGACCGCGCCAGGGGGGCCCCAGCGCCGATCCAAGAAATCCGCACAGAGCTCCGAGAACGTACGTTTATGCTGGTTTCTGTTGGCGGAGAGCGAGGGGGGGAAGTGAGAAGGACAAGGCCTCCTCAGAAGGCGACATGGCTTCTAAGAAACCCTCGCGCCTGCTTAGAAGTCTTCTGTGTCTTCGGGGAAGGCTAAGAAAACTTCTCAGAAGGCGGGGGGACTTCCGAGCCGTCTGAGAAGGCCCGCCCCCTCTCACTTCCCCCCCTCGCTCGCCGCCGATTCTGTTCTTGGAATCTGCGAGGCCTGACGCGGCGTGGCCTCGGCCCCCCCGCGGCAAGGGGGAGGCCGCTGCGCGGGGCGAGGCCTCGGCCCCCCGTGGAACGCGGGGTTTGCCGAGAGAGGTCTCCCATGCCTTCCGGGGGAGGCTCAGAACAAAAACTCCCCAGAAGGACTTAGGCCTTTCGAGCCTCCCGACAAGGCCCGGCCCGTCGGATATCCCCCAGGGGGAGTAGGAGGGGAGGACAGGAGGAGGAGGAGGAGGAGGAGGAGGAGGAAGAGGAGGAAGGCGATTCAGGACAGGGGGGATGAGGAGGAGGAGGAGGAGGAGGAGGAAGAGGAGGAGGAGGAAGAAGATGAGGAGGAGGAGGACGAGGAGGGGGCGAAGGAAGAGGAGCAGGAGGAGGAGGAGGAGGCTGAGGAGGAGAAGGAGGAGGAGGAGGAGGAGGAGGAGGAGGAGGAGAGGGGGCAGGAGGAGGCGGAGGGGGAGGAAGAGGACCAGTATTAACGATTTTGGAAAAATGGACCGTCCTTCCAAGCTCTCTCTTCATAGGCCCCCAGAACGGTTCATTTCCAATGAGGGAACTGCCTTATTTGAAGACAACCATTTGAAGACCGTGAAGCATATCAAAACATTGTTATCGGGACTCCATCGCCACGGGTCAACTTGACTGTTGCGTATTGACGGTCCCGAATCTTGCCAGAACGCCATTCCCGGGCTGAAAAGCCGCAAAGCAACGTAACTGTTGCGCCCGCATAGTCCTGAATCCTTCCAAGAACACCATTTCTTGTATTTCGTACTCGTGAATGAAAGCAATGAAACCGCGGCCAAGTCTTAAAACGAACGTGCGTGGAAAAGGGGAGAGCCACATGTTGAAAAAGAACCGCCCTAGATCCGTGAGACCCTTGCAAGTCTGTACAACCAATGTACGCGGCACTTAGGCGAACACCGCAGTTTGAAGACGGCCCCCCTCAATGCGCGAAAACGACCCGCACTCCATCTGCGAAACTGTCGCCCAGTTTCAAACTTCAGGGTCACAAGTGGCGAAGACGTCTCAGGCGAAACGCCCAGCCCGCCCCAGAAACTGGCCCCGGGGTGCGGCAGGAAGGAAGTCGAAACCAATTGCCCTAGCCTGCCCAACCAGCCAGCCCAACCAACCAGCCACCCAAACAACTCAACTGGCTCAACCAGCCCAACCAGCCACCCCGCAACCCCAGCCAACCCGCCACCCCGCCAACCCGCCCACCCCCGCCGCCTGCCCTCCGTCACCGTCGAGAGGGGGGGGTAGTGTTTCTTACAAGCGAAAACAACAAAAATGACCCTCCCGGGGTCGGGCGGGACAGCGGGGGGAGGGGAAATCGCACCGTACTGTGGGGGAGGGGGATTCGCGCCCCAGGTGCCCAAGGACGATTTGGGGCCTCAAGTGCGACACTGTCGTCACTTTATTACCTTTAACCGCGCTCCCCTTCTCAACGGAAAGGCTCCCACCCGTGAAACTGTCGTCATTTTTCAGCCCCCGCGAGAGGCTTCTTAGAGGCCCCCAGAGGCTCCAGGAGGGCCCATGGCGGCATCGGGAGTGCCTAGGAGATCTCCAGAGGGCCCCAGGAGGACCCACTCTGCACCGCGCCCCCCTTCTCAACGGAAAGGCCCCCATGCGTGAAATTGTTGTCATCATTCCGCCCCCGCGAGAGAGTTCTTAGAGGACCCACGGAGGCTCCAGGAGGGCCCATGGCGGCCCCGGGAGAGCCCACGAGATCTCAAGAGCCCCCCGGAGGACCCACTTTGAATTACACTCAGGGAGCTCCAGAGGGCCCAGGAGGCTCCAAGAGGCCCCAAGAGGCCCCGAAGAGCCCAAACAGGCCACAGGACCCCCAGCACGCTCTAGGAGAGCCAAGGCGACACCAAGAGGCTCCAGGATGGGCGTCATTCCCTCTCCTCCTCCTGCTCGTCGTCGTCATCCTTCTCCTCATCCGTCCTGCTTCAAATCCTTCCTCCCCCTCTTCCTCCTCCTTCTGCTCCTCTTTCTCCTCATCTTCCTCCTCCTCCTCCGCCTCCTCCTCTTCCTCCTCCTCCTCCTCCTCCTCCTCCTCCTCATCCGTAGCCTCGATGGCTCCGATAGCGCCGTGCGCGAGATCCGCCTCCTCCCCATCCGTCCTCCTACCTCCTCCCTCCTCCTTCCCTCCTCCCTCCTCCCCTCTCTCGGGAGCGTCACAAAGAGGCCCTCCGAGAAGAATTTCACGACAACAAGGGCGCCGACACGATGAACAGACACCACGTCGGGGCTCTGGGAACGGAGTCGAAGACGAAACCTCGAATAACTTAGTCTTCGATAATCGGGGCATTGTCTGACCACCTGCGAGCCTTGTGGAAACTTCCGAAAGCCTCAGGGGTGGACGTCTGGCGCAAGATTA